GTGGGGGTGAAGTGGTCCTCACATGGAGGGCTTCAGTCTAGTGAGAGAAGGACTTACAGACAGACAGCCTAGACTGGGTTCTATGGGTGATCAGGCAAGTGCATGAGTTGTGTGTGGCGTGGAGCCTTCTGGGTTAGGTGCTATGGGTTATGGGTAGCCTGCTGGGCTGAGCACTCTAGATGGAGGGTGGCCTCTTGAGACCCTTGCTGTAGGTGATGGGACAACTTTTTAGGCTGGGGGCTGAAGTTTGGGTCTGTTCTCTTGCACGTTCTGGATGTGGTCCTATGCATACTCAGTCTTTGGGAGCTAAGTGGAACCACAGAACCGTCTTGCTGGGCACTTCCCAGACTCACCCTGGTTCTGGCACCTGCAGGACTGGTTGATCCTCTGGAGGCTAACAGGGCTGGGGGTTATCTGAGTGTGGATAGCCCTCCCGTGCTCTGCATCCCAGAGAATGCAGACACACGGAGACCACATCCAAAACGCGGTAATTGGCCAAACCCTCAGGACTAGGGTGCCATGAGAACCATTTTTATTGAGGACTGTGGTATGCAGTGGATTGAGAAATTGCCATAGTCAGAAAAAACAAGTAGGAAATCTTCCAGAAAACAAACACTGAAGGAGGAAGTTCCAGGACAGGGAGTGTTAAACATGTGGGAGACTGAAAAGGAATTTCTAGAGGAGCACGGGGCCATCCAGGTCTCAGTGCCTGCAGATTTGGCCGGGTGGCAGTTCTCACTACATTTCAGGTCTAAGAGACTCTCTGATTAATTTCTGTGGACTTCACCAGAGTTACAACAGCAACTCCCAGAGCGCTAATTAAGGAAGAGAGGCGGACAGTGAGTCATGCTGGAAGGAACCCTCCCAGCCCTAAGAAAGCATCTCAGGTCCTCACGCGGTGGGAATGGCCTCAGATCCAGGCAGCTCTGGCATAGGGTCAGCAAGATAATGGTCAGAGCTCCTACTAGTCTCTTTCTCTCTCTCTCTCTCTTTCTTCCTCTCTCTTTCTCTCTCTCTGTGTGTGTATGTGTGTCTGTCTCTATGCATGCTCTCTTCTCTCTCCATCTCTCTATTTTGTTCATGTGCATGTGTGTGTGTATATATGTGTGTCTGTCTGTCTCTGTGCATCCTCTCTCTCTCTCTTTCTCTCTTCTATGCATGTGTGTATGTATATGTGTGTGTGTGTCTCTATGCATCCTCTCTTCTCTCTCTATCTCTGTTTCATGCATGTGCATGTATGTGTGTGTATGTATATATATGTGTCTGTCTCTGTGCATCCTCTCTCTCTCTCTAGTGTGTGTGTGTGTGTGTGTGTGTGTGTGTGTGCGTGCGTGCCCATTCACAGGCTCCAGTCTCCAATTGCGTGTTCCCCAGAAGAGCTGACAAGGACATCTGGCATGGCTTCTTGCAGACTCACCCTGCTAGAAGCTGACAGACTTTCTGGGGCTTGAACCCAGAGCCTTGCATGTGCAAGGCAAGTGGCTACCACCAAATTGAGCTCTAGCGACTCCAGAGTGAGATCTCAGAAGCTCATGACGTGGGAACTGCCACCCGCCAGGCTGGAAGGCACAGTGTCCATCTGGCCCCAGCCATGCAGTCACTTTGGCAGACCAAATCTTTTCTTGAGAACTTGGGTGGTAGAGAAGGAGACCAGAGGTCATTGCTTCAGTCATATGCTGGGGAAGGTTGACAAGGCTCAAGCCATTCCTATCCAACACAGAAGTAGAGCCTGCCAAGAATGAGAGAAAATACAAATGTGTGTTTTCTCTCCAAGTGAGAAGTAGCTTGGAGACCTTCCTGCCATGTGACTACTCTGGCTATGGATCTGACTTGGGAGGCCACAAAGGACCCACAGCCTGGGACTCTTCTAGGAGCCAAGGACTGAGCAGCAAGTGTGGACATTATTCCCAGCAGAACTTGGTGCTGGGCAGACAGAGAGCTGAGTTTCACAGGTACAGTTTCACAGAACTACAGCCTTCTGTCTGGGCGATAGATGACTGTGTTCTTTCAGGGATGTTTGTCCTCAGCCTCCATCCCTGCTAACATTTTGCATATAGATAAGAACCAGCTTGCTGTTCAGCCAAAGGGAATAAATCTGCAGACCAGGAAGGGACCTAGTGGCTGAGTCCTGACAGCTGGTACAAGTACCGAGAACCTTGCTGTGAGCTGTCAAAGCTGTGTCTGGGATGGCCGGTGCAGAGTACGGGGCCACACAGCTCTAGCAACTCAGCCAATGAGTTGGTCCAAGCTGCTAAGCAGCACGCTGGAGGCCAGAGACCCAGCAGGGAGCACACACACTGTGGCCAGGCCCTCACGGGATTGTAGCCGACAGCAGAAAAGTGATCCCAAGCTATGTCCTGTTCTCTTGAGTCTCACAAGGTGGTGGAGAAGCATGGTCAGCAAGTCTGGAACTGTAGGAGAAAAGGGGTTGGAAGATTTGAGAAGCTGTTTAAACTGTGGGGATTTCACTGTTCACACAGAGAGGAGTCATAAACCCAGGTCAGAGTCACAGTTCACCCGACACGGAAGCCGCCTTCTGGCCCCAACTTCCCCATAGAAGTCGTTCTCGTTTACTGGTTTTAGTTTATGTCTACGGCTGTTTGCTTGCATCATGTGTATGCACCACATGCATGCAGTGTCTGCAGAAGCCAGAAGAGGGCATCAGATCCCCTGGAACTGGAGTTTCAGGCAGTTGTGAGCCACCATGTTGTCGCTGGGAGCTGATCCCAGGTCTTTTGCAAGACCAGCCAGTGCTCTTAATCACTGAGCTGTCTCTCCAATCCCTTCTCCGAGTTCATTTCTACATCGTGGCAATGCAGAGGCACTTTCTCACAGATGAGAGCACCCTCTTCATGAATTGTATTTTCAAGTAGCATTGCTTGTTTTAACTAAAACATTTAACCAAACAATTGTAAATTCACAGACGGTTGTTAGAAATCATACTCGGAGGCCCCATGTGACCTCCACCCCGTTTCCAACAATGACAAAGGCAGAAAATGAGGCTAGAAAACCGACCTTGTGCAGTTCGGTCAGAGCATCCCATCACTCTCCCTCTACACCTCTGGTCCCCGGGTCTCTCGTCCCCAGATCTCTGATGGTACCCTTTAGGGACAGCTCCCCTCTCCCTCCTTCCCTGAGCCCTGCAATGGCTGCTCTGTCCTCCAGGTCTAAAGTTCATCATCTGCCATAAAAACAGGACTGTTCAGATGCAATTTCTTGGAATTCACTGTTCCACACATTGTAATTTTCTGGGGACTTGTCCCAGCTGTACTCTGTGGCTCCTTTCAATGGTGGAGACATATTTGATGCTGTGAATGTAGCTCAGCTTGGGTCACAATTTGGTTTTGAACAGGTTTCTTTAGGATACAAGCCCAGGAACAAAGTTTCTGGGTCACAGGGCAACAAGGTATTTATAATTTTCAAAACCTTCCAAACTGCTTTCAGGAGGCTGCCTCATTTAATGTTCATACTGGCGATGTGTAAGTGACCTATATCCTGGGCATCCCTTCCAAACTGTGTGCAGCCGTTCTGATAAGAGTAAAGAGACACTTCGTTTTTTTTATCTCCCTGGTGCATCAAATCTCTCCTTTGATAAATCAAATCTCTCCTTTGATGCATCTGTCACAGCTTTTGTCCCTTTGCTGCTGAGTCTCAATAAAAATACAAAATAAGTTATTTTATCTTACCCTTACATGTTACAGTCCATCATCAAAAGAAATCAGAGAAGGAACCAAGAGGCAGGAGCTGAACTCAGCTGTAATTTGATTTTTCATTTCCTTTAAAAATATTTACTGTAGTTTTGCTTTTAGGTATGTGTGCAAAGAATTACAGGAGGTCACAAGCCACCTGACATGAGCACTGGAAACCAAACTTTGGTCCTCTAGAAGAACATCATGCAATCTTAGTACCCAAGCCACCTCTCCAGACTGTTTTTCATTCTTCAGTAGAGGTTCCTTCTTCTCAAATGACTCTCGATTGCTCCATGACGACAAAAACACTTATCAACCAATGCAGTGACCCTACGTTCATTGCTAATGCATACAAATGCAATTAATTTTGTCTGTTAGTCATATATATGGGAACTTTCTGAATTCAATGAATGTCCTGGAATTAAAAAAATAGACTCTGGGATTTGGGTATAGAAGGACATGTCATCAACAGGCAGGCGGTCTCATTTCTTCCTGTCTGGTGTGTTTACATTTTATTCATTTCCTTCTCTTGACTTATTGCTATGGCTTTGCCTTCTACCAGCATGTTAATTTGCAGCCAACCTGTCACACTCATTCTATATACCTCACATTCCATCTTTCTCAGTAAGTTTAATCTGGACATAGGGACTTGATAGGTGCTTTTACCTGATTAAGTTTCTTCTGAGAATTTCGCTTCTCACCACCAGTGGGTGCTGAATACTGTCAAGGCTTTGCCCATCGGTTGATCGGCCACCTGCTATTTCATCTTTATTCTTGCAATATTAATGCACTGTAGTGGTTGTTAAAATCCCCTTCCAATTTCTCCCCACTCTCCTTACCTTTTTCCTTACAACTTCATGTGAATTAAAATAAAACAAAACACTGATCTGTTTTGTTCCAGAAGTATGTGCATGGGTAAAGACCATCACTAAAAACTGTTTTTTTTCCCTTTCCTAATGGCTATCAGTTGCCAATAGCTCCTCATTGAAGGACAGAACCTCATGAGCCCTCATTGACCCATGCTGGGATTTCAGATCTTGTACAGGTCTTTGTATAGAGAAGCCTTCCCGCCAGCCTGGTTCTAGAGCCGCATCAGTCCCAAATAAACACACAGGAGGCTATATTAATTATGAAGCTGTTGGCCTTGTTTGTTTCTTACTGGCTAGCTCTAACTTAAGTATTTATCCCATAATTGTTAATCTAAGTATTTCTCTTACCGGAGAAGTTTCCGGGCTTCTTATCCCTATGGCGGTTACATCTTGATTCCCTGTGTTTCTCCTGCCCAGAGTCCTCCTCGTTTCCTAGTCCCACCTATCTTGCTTCACTATTGGCCAACAGTGCTTTATTGTCATATGCACAGGACTTCCCCAACAGGTCTTGTGCACACAGTCACGGCTGCTGTGGGTTCATGTGTGCAGTGGTCCTGTTGCAGCCAGCAAATCATGCTTTACTGCAGATGTCCACTATCTCAGGCTCTCACAATCTTTCTCTCCTCCTTTCCTTTATGATCCCTGAGTCTTGAGGGGATAGAGGTGTTGTAAAACTGTCCTATGTCCCCATAACAGGGCACTCCACAGTCTCTTAATTAATTGTGGGTCTCTGTATTTATTGTCAATGCTGTAAAAAGAAGTGTCTCTGGTAAGGGATGGAGGCACACTATCTGTGAGTATAAATATAGGAACTTGGGGGGGGCAGTTTATCACTGTATCCATAGAGTATAATAATGATATTAGGTTCTTCCCTAAAACTTAGGACCTAGCAAGTCATGAATTTTGGCCCAGTTAATGTACCAAATCTTATGGAGGGGAGCTTTAAATTCAATAGAAAAATCTTGAACCAGCTTTGCACTCCTGCAGTATCTCTTACTTGATCAGTGCATTGAGCAATAAATGTATATGTATATATATGTATATGTATATGTATATGTATGTATAATCAGAAGAGGGTGTTGAATCCCCTGGAGCTAGAATTGCAGTAGTTATGAGTCACCCAGACCCTGGAAACCAAACTCAGGTCCTCTGTATAGGCTATATTTACTCTAAACCTTCCCCCAGTATTTTTTTTAACTTTTTCTTGTATCAGGGTAATGTTAGCTTCATATATTGAATTGTTTTCTCCTATTTGTTTTCTGTTTAAGACTGTATAGAATTGTCATTGATCCATAGTTCAATTTTTAGTAGAATTTTTGAGTATGAAATTACGAATTTAGCTTCCTTAATATGTATGGACTGTTCAAACAATCTAGTTCATACTGGGTGAATTGTAGCGAGCCTCTGGCTTTATTTTCTGTTCAGATGGTTTGTGGAGTTCAAGCCGACAGATTTATGTAGAGTTATTCATGGTGTGCCTTCAGGATCCCTCTGAGGTCTTTAGGATCTGTAATTTCATGAATGGTATTGATTTTTGCCTTCCCTTTCTTCCCCTTTGTGGGTATGGCTAAATTTGTCAGTGTTGTTTGTCTCACCCATTTGTGTCACTGATTTTCTTTATTGTTTAGTATTTTCAACAACAAGAACTTCTAGTCTCATCTTTATTGTTTTTTTTCCTTGCTTTAATTTCTCTCTTCTTTTTAGGTTCTTTAGGTAGGAATTAATTTTTTTGTTTGACACATTTCTTAGCACTACTGTGTACCCAAGTCCTACAAATTTTTATGTGTTGTATTTTCATTTTCTTTGATTATTTTTTAAGTTTCTCTTAAGATTTTCTCTGTGACTTGTGTGTTTAAATTTTGTAAATCTGTGTGTGTATAGAGGGGGGAGAGATGAATTACTGGTTTTTTGGCTTGACTTTGCTGTGGTTGGATCATACACTTTCTATGATTTTTACTCTTTGGAATTTGTTGAATTTATCTTATGGTTCAAGATACAATCTGTTTTGATTTGTGTTTCATTAGCACTTTAAACTATCCTCTCTGCTGCTTGTGGGTGTTCTTTTGTAGATTGTTCTATGAATTATTGGGAGAGGGACTGAAGTCTTCAACTGTAACTGGGCTGGTCTACTTCTTTCTGTTCTATAGTTTTACTTATTTATTTTTATTGTGTGTGTATGTGTGGGGGAGGGGATACTCGTGTCGTAGCATATGTGTTGAGTCAGAGGAGAACTTGGGGAAGTTGGTTCTATTTCTTCCATTGTTCTGGGGGCCCTGGGGTTGAACTTAGATGGCCAGGCTTGTGCAGCAAGTTCCTTTACCTACTGAGCTAAATTGCCAGCTCCATCAGTTGTGTGTGGCAACTCTGTTGTATGGTATAAGCACATTCGGAGAAGCTGAATGGTTGCGGCCTGCTGTTTGGTATTTTAAATCCAAGATGGAAATTCCTTTCTATTGGTATCTTTAGACTATTTACATTTAGTGTAATTATGGCTGTGTTAGGATGTATGTGTTGGGATGTATGCATGCTATTTTCCTTTCTGCATTGTTTGTTGTATTTGTATTTCTCACAGTGTGCTTGAACATTTTTTATAATTCCATTTTTGCTTCTTTTCAATCAACCAAGTAAATGTAAATTCAGGGTAAGAATATGAATTACATGTTAGCATTTGCATTTTCTCACAGGTGAATTTTCCTCTGTGGTCTGCTCAGCACCTTAAAGTGCTTTGGGTATAGAGCAGGAAATGTGGTGGCTCATTTGGTGACAAGAAGTTTTCAGAGAAGTGGAGAGAGTCTTTAAGTAGTCTTCCCCTGGGGAGGTCTCTGCTCCCTACACGCTCAGATCTGCACAGCCTGCTGTCCTCGGGGCACTGATGGTTTGCACACTTCATTGTTGGTCAGGGTCCACTTTGCTTTGTGTTTTAGGATTTAGATTTTCTTGCAGCTTTGTTTTGAACAGGAATTGGTTTTGATGACTTTGTCCCCCAAATTCCTAGAAGTAGGAGATTCAGATCCATTGCTTTGCTTCTCCCTCAGGATAGAGCTGAGAATTTTGTTTGGTGTTGTTTATTTTTATAAAATACCGAGGAAACATGAGATTTGAGTGAGGCTGGAAAAAAAAAGAGAACACAGAAGACCTGATCTGAGACACCCACTGATCTGGATTTTACTGTAGGCAGTGGGGGCTCAGCTGCGCCAAGGACCCTCAGCAGCCATGGAGACGGATTTGGACTTGTCCCGCTGTGGGACCTGGAGGAGCAGGTTGATCAGAATTGCTCCTGGTGTGTGAACCCCCTTGCACTAGCACTCCAGGTGTGTGAACCCTTGCACTAGCACTCCAGATGTGTGAACCCCTTCACTAGCACTCCAGGTGTGTGAACCCTTGCACTAGCACTCCAGATGTGTGAACCCCTTCACTAGCACTCCAGGTGTGTGAACCCCTTCACTAGCACTCCAGGTGTGTGAACCCTTCACTAGCACTCCAGATGTGTGAACCCCTTCACTAGCACCCCAGGTATGTGAACCCCTTCACTAGCACTCCAGGTATGTGAACCCCTTCACTAGCACCCCAGGTGTGTGAACCCCTTCACTAGCACCCCAGGTGTGTGAACCCCTTCACTAGCACTCCAGGTGTGTGAACCCCTTCACTAGCACCCCAGGTGTGTGAATCCCTTCACTAGCACTCCAGGTATGTGAACCCCTTCACTAGCACCCCAGGTGTGTGAACCCCTTCACTAGCACCCCAGGTGTGTGAACCCCTTCACTAGCACTCAGGTGTGTGAACCCCTTCACTAGCACTCCAGGTGTGTGAACCCTTCACTAGCATTCCAGATGTGTGAACACCTTGCACTAGTACTCCAGGTGTGTGAACCCCTTCACTAGCACTCCAGGTGTGTGAACCCTTCACTAGCACTCCAGGTATGTGAACCCCTTCACTAGCACCCCAGGTGTGTGAACCCCTTCACTAGCACGCCAGGTGTGTGAACCCCTTCACTAGCACTCCAGGTGTGTGAACACCTTGCACTAGTACTCCAGGTGTGTGAACCCCTTCACTAGCACTCAGGTGTGTGAACCCCTTCACTAGCACTCCAGGTGTGTGAACCCTTCACTAGCATTCCAGATGTGTGAACACCTTGCACTAGTACTCCAGGTGTGTGAACCCCTTCACTAGCACTCAGGTATGTGAACCCCTTCACTAGCACTCCAGGTGTGTGAACCCCTTCACTAGCACTCCAGGTGTGTGAACCCCTTCACTAGCACTCCAGGTGTGTGAACCCTTCACTAGCATTCCAGATGTGTGAACACCTTGCACTAGTACTCCAGGTGTGTGAACCCCTTCACTAGCACTCAGGTGTGTGAACCCCTTGCACTAGCACTCCAGATGTGTCAGAATGGATGAGCGTCTCATAACTAGGAAGCCCTGGGTGGAGAATGAGTGATCCTGACAGTCAGGACACACTTACACTCAGCAACTGAAGCAAGAGTGGCTCAAGAGACTGACAGTGGTTCTCCGTTGCTGTGGCTTGAAGCTTCCTGTGTTAAGACTGAATCCCCAAAGTTACGCATTAATACTGTCTGCGGGTAGCAGGAGGGTATGCCCCCGTGGAAGCATTACTGGCTTCCTGAAAAGAGGAAGAGAGAGCTAACCAGCACATTTGCTGTCTCACCATGCACCAACTCTGCCTGCCTACCCCAGAAGCTGAGTAGGACTTGGACTTCCTAGCCTCCAGAATCACAAGCCAAATGAGCTTTTCTTCTCTATAAATGACCTCGTTACAGGTATTTTGTTATAGCTGCAGAACATGGACTAAGACCATCCCACGTACTTTAGGATGCTCCATTAAGACCAGCAAGGACCAGGGGCCTCTCCCTACCTGCCCTGGGTGATGAGCTCATCTCTCCTCTCTGCATTGCTCTTCGGCCAGCCTACTTCTCTGCTTCCTCATGGAATCTGTTCTCTCATCTCTTGCTTAGGGGTCACATGCCACCGCCTCCCCCACCCCTGCCGCTGACTCCGGAATCACATCCTTTTGGCTTCAGTTCTTGCAGCCAACAAGAGCAGCCTCTGTTCCCCCAAGCCCCTAGAGGACCCTGCTTGGCCCAGCTCATCCTTTTGATAGAGGCCACCCATGCCTGGGCTCTTGGCAGCTAAGTGGCTATCCAGAGTTCCCCTCCCTCCAATCAGCAGAGTGGGAGCAGCAGAGATGGCTGTGTGGAGACTGTCCACACAGAGAAGGAAGACATGGGGACAGAGAGAGGTCTTCTAATCCCCCCTCACCTTGAGAATTCCTCAAAGTGGACAGTGGGAGGATTGGGTCTGGAGGTCAGCGGGACTGTCCAACTAGTAGAAATTCGCAATTCCTTCCAACTCCTTAGCCTTGTCTGCTTTTGTTTAATCTGTGAATTGCTGGGTCAGTTCCAATATGATAAAGAGTCACATTTGTTAATCTTGGCATCCTAACAACGATTTTAAAATCCGAACAAAGCGGAGGGAGCAGCCGTTTTAAAGTTGTAAGGCCAAGCAGGGAACGTCTGTAAGGCGAAGCATGGAGCAGAGCCACTCTGGGCTGTGTGAATCTTTCACCCAACCATGGAGGAAGGTGGGGAATCTTCCATCCGTTTGAACAAGAAAAGGTAAGCAACTTGCACCAGCACGAGCTGCTCTTATGCCCAGGCCCTGTCTGGAGCATCCTGCCCCCACAGGCAGAATGCACACAGCACAGGTGCTCTGGCCTTATTTTCGTCAGGTCGATATGAAGCTAGAGTCCTTCCCACTCGACCACCTGGGTTGCATGGAGTCCACAGGGACCATGTAGCTCAGCGGTGGGTGCTAGCCTTATCAGGATTTCTTCTCACCTCTGGACATCTGCGTAGCCCCGAGCACTGGCAGCAAACATTCAGAGGTTCATTTCAAACTCGGCCCCTCCTTGTCCACTCACTTTTGAAACAGCCCTGTGGGTTGGCTTTTGGTGTTCACCATCCCTTCCTCACAGATATCGGTTCTGTTTCCTTGTGCCGTGGATCTCATCAGACCACAAAGCCATCTCTGCTCATTCTTTGGAGGGATGCACGGAGGCCTTGCCAGAGCCTAGAGAGTGTGCGTGACCCCAGGACCACAACCATCTGTGTTCTAAGAACATTCCACCCGGCTGCCCTTTCTGCTTTCTTCAGAGTCATCGTCAAGGTTCCCGTTTGGCCGTGGCCTCTCAAGATGTCAACGTGTCAAGAGCGTTTTCTGTGCTGCTCCTTGTACTGTGTCAGCCTGGCCATGTTTAGCACTCTCCTGACGTCTGTTCTCAGTGGAAGTGTCGAATACGCATTTGTTAAAATGTTCTGTGTTGTAAGCTGAGATCCAGCTCAGAGAAGACGAGGAGCAGGAATTCAGGAGGAACTTTATCCAGCAGCAATGGCAGGGTTGACATTGACGGCCTCTGGGTGTCATGTTCTTCCAGTGTCACTGGCGGCTGCATGTGCTGCTCCCAGCCGCTATTTAGAGGGGGAAACCCTGCACCAGCTCTGCCACCCAATGCCAAAGAAGTGGAGCCATCCCCAGCAGGAGCCCCAAGGCTCCCTACAACTCCTTCTCCTCCCTTCCACCAGAGCTTCAAGAATCACGGCCGCCACAGGTTGCTCAGACGGGAAAGCCATGGCCAGCATGAAGGCTTGCACACGAGAGTCCTCAGTACTCACAAAAGTCGGGTTGAGGTGGTGCAAGTCCACACCCAGCACCCAGGCCTGGGGAGGCAGAGACAGGCAGATCTTTGTGGCAAGCCAGCTTCGCTGAATTGATGAGGTTCTTAAAAACTAAGGCAGTGGCGATGGCTCATGGGAAAGGCGATTGTCTTCATGTTTGATGACCTGAGCTTAACACTACTTGATGGAAGGAAAGAACCGCCTCCTGCAGGCCTCCACATGTGTGCCATGGTACACAAGTAGTAAATGTAATTAAAAGTAAGTAAGTAAATGGAGTGGAGATAGAAGACACCAACTGCATAGACACATGCATATACAAACACACATACATAAACACACATGCGCATACACATATAAACATGTGCAGCTCCACATATACACACACAAACATGTGTACACACACAAACATGGATGCACATATAAACATGTACACACACACTTGCCCATTCGCCATAGGTGGCAGGCCATGGAGGCCGATGTGGAAGTCCCTGTACTGCTCTTATTTCAAGGCACCTCAGGAGCAGGGGCCGGACCCCACGAAGCTCCCTGCGAGACGTTCCTTCCAGTCACTCAGCAGTCAGTCTGGGCAGCCTGTGCCCAACCTTATGGAGATCATCTTGAGATGGGCACCTCCTGTCACGCCCTCAGACCCCCCAAGCCCCCCAAGTCCCTGCACTCATCCCAAGCCTCTGCCGGCTTCACACCACCAGCCTGTCCCACAGCCCTTCATTCCTGCTCCCCCTCCCTAAGGACCCCCACTCCCTGCACCCTACATCTCATAGGGATGGTGCTCCTCAAACCCAGAGATCGTCCCACATGTGCCTTGGCCCACGCTGCCTCATCCCTCATCTCTCTGGCCTCTGCTGGCCGCCCTATAGTCATCCGGGACGTTGCGGTTCACCACAGCAGCCTCACCTCTGGGTCTTGCTGCATGGGTGGCGGCCACCCTTCAGTGTCCTTGCTCTGTGTCACCATCTGGCCTGAGGACACACTAGGCGATGTCAGGATTTGAAACCCTTTCTTTCCTGTAGCACATTCACCTCAGCTCTGTGTGTAACCACCCCCAACACAACCTGAACATCACACAGAGATCTCTGACCACACCCCACAGCCAGCCCCTGGGTCATCGCCAACTCCTTCATCTTCACCGTCTTACAGATACGCCCTCACGTGGGCCACGTCTCTAGACACAACAGCAATGGAGGCAGCCGGCCACAAACTAAGACTGCTGAAACCGTAAGCCAAGGTAAGTATTTTCTTTCAAGCTGTTTCCCCTCTTTTTGTTGGTTTGCTTGTCTGTTCATGTTTTTTGTCACGGTGAGTGAAATGAACATACTTTGTTTCCTAGGCCCAGGTCTGCTGACACTGTCTTTAGACACACATTAGCATTTGTTGGCTTCTAGAAATTTCTACGGCTAGCGATGTATGGAGAAGCAAATGTATGTCTCTCATCCTTTCTCGTCCCTTTAGAGTGACAAGAAGTTCGCTTCTGCAACCCACTGGGCTTTCTGACGTAGAGATGAGAACGGCAACGACAGGACTGTGCGGGCCTCTTTATTGTTCCTGGGTGTGGGACATTACACACAGCGCGTGGCAGTCACTTAGCTGGTAAAATATCTCAATAAATAAACAAATAAGCAACATATACACTGAACAGGGAATATAAAAGAATGGCTAGCTGAGCAGGCCATGAAGAAATAAAGAGCAGGAGTGTGCCAGCAAGAATTCCAGGCTTCCTCGAAACAGCCAGGGAGGTCTGGGGTGGGAGGGGTCTTGGGTTCTTGTTCTGAGAGCCTTGGTCCAGTTTAAACAGGTTCTACAAGAATGCATGTCGGTTTTATTTAAAAATATACATTTAAAAAGGCACTTAGAGGGAAATACAATCCAATATATCCTTACAAATGCACTCTTGTATCTAGAGCTTTCCACAAAGATCCCCCCCAAACCAAAACCCAGGAGGATAATCCAACGATGAGGACACAAAAGTCACTGGCAGGCGGGAAGGCTGGTGCCCATCCCATGGGGCACGTCTGAGAGATGTGAACCTGGGTCTGCTGTCCTGTGGTTGCTGCCCCCTCCGAACACTCAGCTGGGGCACGGGGGCTCGAGGAGCCACGAGGCTGTCCAGGTGCCGGAAGTCAGAGCCGCGGATGTATCCATCCCACTTCCATCTGAGATGTGCAGGCAGGTCTGCAAGGGAAGGAGAGGGGAGACGGTGGATCATTGGCCTCTGGGGAAGTACGGCCTTTCTCCGAGGGAACCTGGGGCTGCAGGTAGGGAGAGCTAGCTAGGTCTCATCTGTACCACTCTCAACTTCTCCCCTGCGGGGCCAGACCTCAGAGTTCCCAGGCCCTGCAGCCCACTGAGCACAGCACCGCATCTTCTCAGGGCCACACGCTGGCTCCTGAGAGAGACACCAGAGCAGACTTCCAGGGTGAGGGAGGCCAGAGCTAGGAGGGATGGGGTGAGGATGCAGGAAAATATACAGCTCCTGGGGAGAGCCATCCACCACAGAGTTCTCTTTGCAAGTTCTTGGGAATCTATACTAATACTTTGGAAATAACTATAGATTCACAAGTCCTATGAGCAGTTCAACCCATTTCCCCCTAAGCATAAACTGATACCACAGCTTCAACATCTGGATAGGCCCATAGCTCATGTACATGCCTTCGTGCATAGTGTGGGACATATATGTGTGTCCAGGATGGGTGGAGAAAACTGTATGTCGTGTGTGTCGTGTAGTGTGTGTGTGTGTGTGTGTGTGTGTGTGTGTGTGTATGATGTGTGTGATACTGTATGTGTGGTGTGTGATGTATATATAGTGTGTGTGGTGTGGTGGTGTGTAATGTGTATGTATAGTGTATCTGTGATGTGTGATGTATAGATAGTATATGTGTGGTGTGTGTACAGTGTGTCTGTGGTATGTGATATGTGTATATAGTGTTTGTGGTGTGTAAAATGTGTGTATGGTATGTGTGTGGCATGTGATGTATGTATATAGTGTGTGTGTGTGGTGTGTATAGTATGTGATGTATGTATGTATGTATATATATAGCATGTATGATATGATATAAGTTATGTATGCATGGTGTGTGTGTGTGGTATGTGAGGTGTGTATAGTATATGTGTGGTGTGTAATGTGCGTATATAGCATATGCATGATGTTGCTTAGTATGAATAGAGTGGGTATGTGTGACATACATGTTCAGTGAGGTGTGTAGTGTATATTGTGTTGTGTTTCTTGTTCCCTCGGCTGTCATTGAGAGATACAACTTTCCCACCACTACAAGGCCACACAACTGATTTTTAAGTCATGTGAACCAGTGAGATGGAGCCAAAGGGGCCTGATGCTAACACCAGCCTGCAAACCCTACTCTGACTGTGATCTGATGCTAACACCAGCCTACAAACCCTACTCTGACTGTGACCTGATGCCAACACCAGCCTACAAACCCTACTCTGACTGTGATCTGATGCCAACACCAGCCTACAAACCCTACTCTGACTGTGATCTGGGATAGGAACCTTCTGGGGTCACCTAGCACAGCTGCTCCTGATGTCACTTCCTGCAGCATTCAGATCAAATGTCATGCTCATGTACACACACCCATGACCTGTGAGGCAACATACTTACACACAAATATGTGTGCATACATGTATGCACACTCATGCCTTAAACACACAGGGTGCTCTGTGAAGAAACAGCCTCCCTTAGCAAAGGCTGATCTGGAACCAAACTGCCTAGAAGGGGGGGGGGCATGTCAGTAGGTGACAAGGCAGATTGACAGGGAAAAGGGCACCTGTGCTACATGGATGTCCTAGTCCTGGAGGAGTCAGGTGGTTTTGACAACAGATCTCCATCACTCATCTGTGCCCATCTTGAGCTCACTGAAAATGTGCAGAGAGCTGGTTAGACACTGGTCTGAGAATCAGAAGGAGAGGGGTGACCATTTAGTTCAAGGTTACATTACATTACTGCCGCGTGGTCCAGAGAGTGAGGAGAAATATTAGCACATAAGGGATCAGTATCCCGATGAAAATACCGTCCAGGTGAGTGATGAAGCCACGAAGGATGGGAACATTTAGGTCTGAGCCACACCCCAGGGCTGCAGCCACACTCCAGGGATGCAGCCACACCCCAGGAATGCAGACACACTACAGGGCTGCAGCTACACTTCAGGGCTACAGCTACACTTCAGGGCTGCAGCCACACACCCCCCCAGGGATGCAGCCACACCCCAGGAATGCAGACACACTCTAGGGGTGCAGCTACACTTCAGGGCTGCAGCCACACTCCAGGGGTGCAGCCACACTCCAGGGCTGCAGCCACACTCCAGGGATGCAGCCACACACCCCAGGGCTGCAGCCGCAGCAGGGCTGCATCTGGCTTGTTACTGGCTGTCCAGGGCAGCTCACCACACTACTACACCTGCACTGATTGGTGTGCACAGGTCTCAGACTTTCAGCCAAACTGTTCCCAAGACCTGAGCTCTGTGAGGGGTTTTTCAAAGCTCCCGAATACTTTCCCCTGGAATTAGCACAACAATCTGGAAAGTCTAAAAGTTTCCCTAAAATTAGGCACAGACAGACAGACAGGCAGACTGACTGACTGACAGACAGGCGTGTGTATGTGTGTGTGTGTGTGTGTGTGTGTGTGTGTGTGTGTGTGTGCTTGCTTGCTCCTTCTTCCTCCCTCCCTCCTCCTTTATTTTTCAAGTTCAGAGTACTCCAAATATTTAAGCCTTTTTAAGTGGTCCCGGGCAGAGAGTCAAAGGCTGTTCTATTGGCGAATGTGGTTATAATTAGATAATTAATGGGGGGGAGCTAAATGGAAGCCTTCCTCAGTGGGAGGAAATAATTACAACAGCGTTTGATATCTGAGCTGAGCCAGCCCACCAGGGGAAGCACAGGGTAGTCCGTGAAAAGCACAGAATGGCAGGGGCTGTCCCAATAGGGTAGGGTTTGGGGTTGGCTTCATCTGCCAGAGGGTCCTGGGGCTCAGGCAGAAGCAAGTGGCAGGTTCATTAGTCTTCTTGACTGAGAGCCTCCCAGCCTAACCCCCTTGATGTCACCTTGACCCCCACATGTCTGTAGACATGGGCAAATGAAAAACATCTGGGCTCAAGATGGCCTCGCCACTGAAGGGTACGAGCCCCATGCATGGGCCTCCTGTGGCTCACTCCGGTTCTACCTGGCCCCAAGCAGGCTGCAGCTGGACTGAGAGCAGTGCTCAGTGGCCCTGAAGCAAACCACTGGGTACTTAGAAACACTAAGGGCCTCGTGCTAACCAAGGGAAGGCACGGCACTCTGGCTGTGAAGTTTGCCCTGCCATCCTCCCCCAATGTCTCCCACTCTTTCTTCCCTCCTCCCCTCCCTTCCTTCCATCCACGTGCACATTCATCCACCTCCCAGCATGCACTGAGTGTCTGGCGTGTGCAAAGAATGGTGCTGGTTGCTGAGACGGCTGAGACAAATCAGAGTATGACAGCAGAAGAAACACATATGTAAACTAGACACTGAAAACTGTCCCAAGGACAGCACAGGCCAGATGCTGCTGCTGCAGAGGAGACTTAGCTGGACTGCCAGAAAGAGCACACAGTGTGCATGTGCACACACACATGCACAAACACAGACATGCATACATACATGCACACACATGCGCACACACATACATAAGCACAAACATATACAATGCATGTACACATAAATGTGCACACATGCACACATGTACACACATGCATGCACACAGACATACATGCATATACATACACACATGCATGCACACACATGCATACATATGTACACGCATGCATATACACACACATGCACACAACACATCTGGGTTTCTCATGTGGTGCCCCGAGAGGTGGAAGAGGACATGACCACAGAACTTGGGTGGGGCCATCATCTACAGCACAAAGAAGTTCAGAGTTAAGGCATTAACTGACCCTTTGCCCCTAGAATGAGAAAAGGATGAACTTTTGGCTCCACTGGACCTTAAGACCTTACAGTTTGCTCAAATGGGCCAACCCCTGCCCGTCTGTCCTGCTGTCCTGCTGTCCTGCTTTCTGTCTCCTACAGTAACACTCGGCTATCTCTAAAGCCAAGACCCTTTCAACTCCTGATTCCAGTCCCACAGAGGTTGGGGAAGTGGCAGGCTGGGTAGGACTACCACTGGACTGGAAGCTGGGGGTGGCATCAGCCCACATGGATCCCGTTGCTCATTCCACTTGAGGAGCGTTTGGGCTTCTGGAGAGCCCCGTCTACCAGTTGGGGCCCTTCCCATTCTGGATGAGTCTGGACACAGCTTCTGAGATGCCCACACCAACACCAACGGGAAGCCGGGAAGGTGGGGCAAATAGCATCATCTGTCGAGTCTCCGAACTCCAAGCAAACAACTATCAGAAAAGACTCCTCACCCACACGGGGTCATGAGCAGAGACCTTCATGAGGGGCACCCACCAAGTGGCCCCAGGGAAGGAGGTGGTCTGCTTTGAATGAGAAGCGCAGGTTGGAAGCTATCAAAACAGACTCTCAGGAGCCCCAGAAAGCTTAGGGATGAAGTGGTTTTAATCGAGGAGTCAGGAGTTAGCGAATGGGAAAGCAGATGTCGAGGAGCAAGTCCTGAGGGCAGACATTGCTGGGGACCTCCCTGTCCTGGAGGCGGGTGTCAGTCACTAAGGAGAGATCAGGAAGATCCTCTCAGCCAATAAAAACA